TACAGTAAATTTACTGCTTTAGATTCTTAAGCATAAAAACAAATAGAATCTGGATTAGAAAGTGTTTCTACTATACTTGTTTTTTTTTAGCCTTGTATATTTTAGCTAAAATACTGTTAATTAGGAAATAATGGGAAGTGAATAGCTACAGGAATGCCCTCTGTGAGTACCAATTGGGTTGGAGAGTTTGATACTGATGACATTTGCCTTCTCATACCCCCTTTTCTTTCTTGTCTGATATCGCTGTTTATTTATATAACATTGCAAAGGACTGACTATTGTCGGAGTATGGTTATGATTCAAATGTTTTTGTTTCAAAAATTTAAATTTTTTTCTCCTTTGTGTTTGAAGTTAATACAAATCCCACTGTTTCAGGAGGATGGTTACTAAATATTGGTAGAGGTTATTACCTTGGTTAATTGTTACAGTACTAAAGATAATTCTCGACAGATCTATGCATAAATTAACCCTAGAATTATTAAGAGTTCAACCTCGTTGGCTTTTTAAACACATGTTTCTCTATTTATTCATCAAGTTGCTTGTATATAAATCTTACACTGTTGGCTATCCTAATAATGTATAAGTTACAAATAATAGTAAGAAAAATAAAATCAATTTTGAAAGTAATCCTGCAAATTTCAGACAGGTTTTAACATGTCATTACAGAGAAAACCTTTTATTTTGTTAAACATTTTACCAGGTTTACCTGGCATCATCAGGTGGGATATAGGAATTTTGTTTTGTTTTATCTATAACTGTGTACTTCTGTGTCTTGTCTTGGTGTGGCTGACCCCTGGAATTAAAAAGCAACTGTGGTCTTAGCCATTCCATTTGTTCTATGGGATCTGGTTCTTTTTGAAGTGATTAATTTAAGTGTAAGATCCAACGAGAGTCGTAACTTTCCAGACTGTGAAGAAACAAAAGTGTAACACAAATGTGATCACCTGATAGCTCACTAGTCATATAACTGCCAACCTACAATCTTTTCTATGTCAGTTTCTATGTTAGTGTCATTACACCATCATCTTGTTTCTTTTTCTTGGACAAAGATGTCTGTTTCAAATCATCGACGGTGATGAGTAATTACACAGTTTGGCTCCATTCCATTTAAACTTGTATACATAAATGTGGAAAGAGGTTTTAATCTGAAGACAACGTTTTGCTCTGTAAGCAGTGTAAAGGTACACTGTGTGTCACATGAGAAAAGAGATTTTTTTTTAGATTTATGACCTAATTCATGAAGCTTAAATAATATTTTTGCGATTTGAGGAAGAAACAGGTTTTGTCTAATGTTAAAAATAAGCCATATTTTTAGCATTATTGTTAGGGAAGGGGGAATTCACAAATATGAAATAAATATCCATACATTGTTTTTATACTTGCGAATTGCCACGTGAAACACTTACAATGACATTTCAGTTAATAACATTTGTTTGTTTTTTAACATGCAACTTTACACGATCATACAAATTAGACCATGAATGGTATATCTAGGCAACTATAAGAAATCATAATGTAATAATAAAATAACTCAACATTATGCGTAGCAGTTAAAATGTTAGTGATGAAATAACAGTTGATAGAACAAATAACCAGAAGACTTGAAACTAGAGAAACAAGTTTCAGCACATGTGCGTGTTTTCTTCATTCTCGAGGGTAAGGTGATTTAAGGCACCAAAATAGCCCTGTCATGAAAAGTTTTAAAAAAAAATCTCGTGTCAAAACTAATTTTTCACCCAAGATTGTTTTTCAACTGTCTGTCATTTTGGATTTATTACATGACCATAACCTAAATAATCAGACGAAAAAAAAGATTTAGATTTGATATTGTACGAGCATTTTTCATTTAAATCAAAATGTTGTATGCTTATTGTCATCTAGAAAAAAAAGAAAAGAATAATAACTGAGTTTTAGTTAAGATTTATAAAAGTTTGTAATGAAAGTGAGATGAAACATTTGTATATAATGCCCAGTCGTGTGACATACATCAAATAAACAACTGGAAACTTAGTGTTGACAATAGATCCTTTCTTACAATTATACTAAAGATTTTAATAAAACTGAAAGATGAGTCTTCTTAAGTTTCTGGTCTGATAATTTCATTACTGAATGTAGAAAAGTTTTAATTTATTCATACAGGTTTGGTATTGTGCTAATGATTTAGTGTAGCAAACTGTGGATCTGAAGTTCAGTTAGTATATTATAAGAGTGACTGTCAAATCCTACTATTTGATTAGAGTAACAATATTGATTCAGGGAACACTACAGGATTTTAATTATGAATGGATTTTTAGATTATATTTAGCTCTTTGTTTAAATATGACGAATTTTAAGCCCCCTTTAGAAAGAGGGGAAAAAATCTAAGTATTTCCTGCTAAGCAAGAAGGTATGATAACTAATACATTAAGAATGGAACTCCAAAAGCAGTTAACTCTTCAGTTGGAGTGTATAAATGAATGTGATGAACACATTTTAAAAATCCACAATTGATAAATGTAAAGTTATTCAATAAACTTGATATTCCAACAATTCAAGGAATATATATAGTGAACATGTCTTTGATTCCTTGAAGGTATCAGTTGTTCGTGTTCATTTGTGCATTTTATAAAAGTTTGTAGGTCCCCCTTGTGATAAAAGAAATGTGAAGATTACACTATTTTTCCTTGAGTGATTACTGGTTACTAAACGTATACCTTTTGAGGGCCAGCCAGTCTTCAGGTTGTGAAAGATGTAGTGAATTTTAAACTCTCTTTGACATTTGATTGTTTTTTTTTTGTTTCTTTTTGAGTAGTGATCACTAATGACAGGAACTTGAATATTTTCAAAGCAAAAGTTTCTCTTTGTTTTAGTTTCATGTAAAGTTACACAACACATTTGTATAAAACCAACTATAATAGACTAGAGGGGAGGCAGCCAGTCAACAACACCCACCTCTTAAGTTTTTGTCTGATTGAATAATGGAATTTAACCATTACTGATATGGCATGCACACACACACACACACACACACACACACACACACACACACACACACACGT